GGGGGGGGGGGGGGAAGTTCTCAAGAGTATGGAGTAGAAGGGGAGAATCACCTCTTGACCTGCTGGCTATGCTTCTTTGGATGCAGCCCTTAAATAGTAGGTAGACTTCTCCTTCTTGAACTTTCACTGTAATGTAATCTTGCATGAAGTATCCTTTTCTCCTGAAATTTACACAAACGAGTGACTTCAAAAATGCTCCATGCAAAAAGTATGTGGCATATATTTTAGGAGGGGAGAGGGAAAGCAGTAAGAGTCTCGTCTGACAATGATGGTGTTGAAAACAAAACTTTCCCTGTCTTTTTGAACATTTTGGAATTTCCACAGGGCTGCTCTTCAAGTAAAACAGATCACTCTTTGCTATGTATCATTATCAATTATGCAAATACAGTAATGTGATTAGAAACATAAATGGTTCAGCACACACATTTGTAACCTCCAACTTCTCAATTTTCTTTCTTACTGGTTCTTTCTTACTTAGCAAAGTGACAACAGCAGAGAGCAACTTCAAGTTTTCAGACTCCAAGGTGAAGTTAATCAACTAGTCAAGTAACAGTAACTACACGACATCTCAACAGCAAAGTTAAAACAACAAACCAACCCCAAAACCACACATACACAAAACAATAAAAACCAAACAAAAAACTAAAACAAAAAAACCACTAAAAAAAAAAAAATCCCCACAAACCCTGCTAGCCAAACTAGTTAACAATTAATAAACAAAGCTCTAGTACTGAAACAAAAAGCAACATGGTGCTAATCAATCACAGCAGAGGTGTCACAGACCACTGGGTGAGAAACTGCTCAGGACAGATCAAATCAGCCATAGTGTTAACAAGGTCTTCTATGGTGAATAAAGACATGATGACATTTTCCAAAACCATTTTTTTAATAGTTGTTCCACTGAACAAAAGCTGACAGCTGTAGAAGCACGCCCTTTTAAATTTACATGCTTAGTTTCCTTTAATTTTCTGGAGTGTGTATGCCTGACATGAACATATTACAAACAGATCTGTGTAAACTTATATACAATATAAAACTGCCTGGGAAAGTCCACGTTCTTTCAATAAGCCTAATCATGTACTTAAATATGCACACACCTAGTTCTATCTAGACGTGTATGGCACAAGTGAAAATTAGAGGGACTGCGTAAAACTTACTTGCTTAATTTTCGTCTTTTGGTTGATACTATTATTACAATGGTGCCAATGTTCTTTTTTCTTTTTTTTTAAATTAATTTTCACTCATAACATTCTGCTGATGCATACATATATACATGAAAACTGGGCATCACCAATAATTGTTTAGCTGTCCAGTAGATTCCTAGTAATATTTTTATTCCGGAATAGTACATTGTGTTAAAATATTTCATAGTTTTGTTTAAGGACTAAACTAAAATTTGTTAAAGAAGGAATTGCTTGAGTACAGGACCACAGAGTGTCTTGGAATTAAAGTTTCCAGAAGCTTCTTCTGTAATTTGGTCTCTTATTTCTGAGGACAGCCATTTACTCTTTGCATGTCCGGGGGGAGGAGGGGGAGAAAGTTGCTATAAATTCTACCACTTCACTTCTGTGTGGACGCTTTAACTAAGTCACATGTTGTTAGAAGTTGAAAAATGCTGTTGCTTTCCACACAACTAAAGCCTTCCC